ACAAAAATTAGCCAGGTGTGGTGGGGGACCCTACTGAAAAATATCCCCCAAAAATTAGCTGGGTGTGGTGGCAGGCTCCTGTAATCCCAGTTACTCAGGAAACTGAGGCAGGAGAATCGCTTGAACCCAGGAGTTGGAGGTTGCAGTGAGCTGAGATCATGCCATTGCACTCCAGCCTGGGCTACAAGAGCAAAACTCTGTCTCAAAAAAAAATAAAAATAAAAACAACTTTATAAACACTGCTGGTGGAGAAACCCTGGTAAGCACTTCCTTAATTTTAAAAAAAAACGGACACATAATAGTTGTACATATTTATGGGGCACCTGTGATACAAGTGTACAATGTGTAATGACCACAGTTGGGTAATTGGGATACCCATTACCTCCAACATCGATCATTTCTGTGTTTTCTGAATGTATATCACAAATCTACTCTTCCAGTTATTTTGAAACATACAATAAATTATTGTTAACTATAATGGCCCTACTGCACTGTTATTATTGTATTCACTACCTCCATCATATCAATTTCTCTCAGTCCCATATATGAGTGAGAACATGTGACGTTTGTCTTTTTGTTTTTGACTTATTTCACTTAACATAATGTCATCCAGTTACATCCATGTTGTTGCAAAGGACAAGGTTTTATTCTTCTTATGAACGAATAATAGTCCATTGTGCATATATACCACATTTTCTTTATCCATTCATCTATTGATAAGATACTTAGGTTGACTTCGTATCCTAGCTATTGTGGACATCACTGCTATAAATATGACAGTGCACATATCTCTTCAATGCTGATGCCCTTTCTTTTGAATGTATACACAGTAGTGGAATTGCTGGACCCTACAGGAGCAGTTCTAATTTTAGTATTTTGAGGAACCCCACATTGCCTTCCACAGCTGCTGTACTAATTTACATCCCCACCAACGGTGCAGGAGCATTCCCCTGTCTCCACATTCTCTCCAGCATTTATTAATTTCTGTGTTTTTGATAACAGTCATTTTAACTGGGGTGAGATAGCTTGCTGTGGTTTTGATTTGCATTTTGCTGATGACTAGTGATATTGAACATTTTTCATTTACCTGTTGACCATGTGTATATCTTCTTTGGAGATGTGTCTGTTCCGATATTTTGCCCATTTTTAATGATTGTTTGCTTTTTGCTATTGTCTTTTTTGAGCTCCTAATACATTCTAGTTATTAACCCCTTGTCAGCTGTATAGTTTGCAAATATTTTCTCCCATTCTGTAAGTTGTCTCTTAACTTCATTGTTTCCTTTGTTGTGCAGAAGTTTTTCTTTTTTGTAGTTGTTGTTGCTGTTTTGTTTTGTTTTTAGACAGAGTCTCACTCTGTCACCCAGGCTCGAGTGCAGTGGCATGATCTCAGCTCACTGCAACCTCTACCTCCCGAGTTCAAGTGAACTTGCCTCAGCCTCCGGAATAGCTGGGATTACAGGGGCTCACTACCAAGCCCAACAAATTTTTGTATTTTTAATACAGACGGGGTGTCAGCATGTTAGCCAAGCTGGTCTCAAACTTCTGACCTCAGCAATCTGCCTACCTTGGCCTCCCAAAGTGCTGGGATTACAGGCATGAGCCGCCATGCCCAGCCTTGTTTTTTCTTTTTAAAATTAATTTTTCTCTTTGGTGTTGGACTGCATAATTTCTACTGATCTGTATTCAACAATACTGTCTCTCTCCTCTGTCAACTTCTTTCTGATACTGAGCCAATAAAGTACATTTTCAATTTCAAGTACTGTATTTCTTTTGTACTCTATATTATAATTTTGCATTTGGTTTATATTTTTAATTTTTTCGACGATAATCTTTTTAATAATTTTAAAGGATATTCACATTTACCTAATGGAAGATGGCTATAATGTGTATACTTTCAGTATTAATGCTTACTGATTGCATTTTTCCTTGAATTTAGGTCAGATTTTCATGGTTCTCTAAATGCCATGTTACTGTTGGATTATATCTTTAGCAATTTTTTTTTTTTTGAGACTGAGTTTTGCTTTTGTTGCCCAGGCTGGAGTGCAATGGCATGATCTCGGCTCACCTCAACCTCTGCCTCTCGGGTTCAAGTGATTCTCATGCCTCAGTCTCCCGAGTAGCTAGGATTACAGGCATGTGCCACCACACCCGGCTAATTTTGTATTTTCAATAAAGAGTTTCTCCGTGTTAGTCAGGCTGGTCTTGACCTCCGAACCTCAGGTGATCTGCCCTCCTCAGCCTCCAAAAGTTCTGGGATTACATATGTGAGCCACCATGCCTGGCCTGTCTTTAGTATTTTTAATACTACTGTCCTTCTAAACTTTTTTGGTGGATGCTGATTTTTAGAATTTGTTTTAGCAGAAAATCAGACTGTTTAAGTTCAGACCACGGTTATTAGCCAGTAGCCTGAGAAGCAATCAGACCACAGTCCTGTCTCATCCCCTGTGGACAGTAATTCAAAGTCAGTTCAGCTTTCATTCAAAGCTTTCTCTCTCTTTTTTTTTTTTTCTTTTTTGAGTTTTGAGATGGAGTCTCACTCTGTAGCCAGGCTGGAGTGCAGTGGCGCAATCTCAGCTCACTGCAACCTCAGATTCCTTGTTTCAAGCAATTCTCCTGCTTCAGCTTTCTGAGTAGCTGGGGTTATAGGCACGTGCCACCATGCCCAGCTAATTTTTGTATATTTAGAAGAGATGGGGTTTCACCATGTTAGCCAGGATGATCTCGATCTCCTGACCTCATGATCCACCAACCTCGACCTCCCACAGTGCTAGGATTACAGGTGTGAGCCACCGCACCCAGCCTTTCAATGCTTTTTCTATATTATTCGGGTCATGCCCCAGGCAGGCCCGAATAGCTTAGAAGCACTTAAGATTTAGTCTGAGACTTGAGCAGTCATTTATGTCATAGCTCAGTTCTTGAAATATAGACTACGTTTCTTTGGATCTATTCTGTGTATGCACAGTTCAGTGTAAAGCCTAAAACTTATATTAGTTTATACTAGAATTAGGGAATGCCATTTTTTGGTGCTCTGCTTTTTTGTTGTTGTTGTTTCTCCCACATGCTTGCATGCCCTGGGGCCTTTCTTCCAGTTTATTTGTTCAGAAAGATGTGATGATTCAGAGCTTTAGCCTTCTGCACTGATGTGCTATCACGCACAACTGGAGTCAGCTTTAGGGTGAAGTGCTGATAGAAGACAGAGGGAAATAGTGAGCATTCCTCCCACATTCTTCAAACATTTGTCCTAGTTCTGTCTCCTAGTCCCTCTGGCCAGGAGTCCTTCTTTCAGGGCCTTAGGCACCTGGGCCACCACCTTTGTGTCAGGGCAGTGCCACAGCTACGACTGGCTTCAGAGTAGAGCCAGAAGAGAAAGGAGAGGAAAAAGAAAAATAGAGATCTCCTCCCATTTCTAATATGCAAGAATAACTTTTTCCAGTCTTTTGGCTAGAAAGAAGACCTTTTACTTAATACCTATTGGACTGTTCCAGGATTTAGACTAGCTTGAGGTCATAATCAGAAAAGAAGGGAGGAAAAAAATTGCAAACCTCAGCCTCCTATGTACCACTATTCAAATTTTGACTTTAGTCCTGAAATTCACCTTGCTTACTTTAATATTTACCGGCAGTTTACTTTGTATTTTGTCCAGAGGGTCTAATTGTGATCAATGGGAAAATAGACTATAGTCAGTTCAGTCCATCTTTGCTGCACCATGCAAATGTTAAATAAAAAATAAAGGAAAAGCAAAGAATTGACAGTGTATTGTTCTATATTGTGGAAGCCATCTTTTAAAAAGTCACATGAGGCCAGGCGTGGTGGCTCACGCCTATAGTCCCAACACTTTGGGAGGCAAAGGTGGATGGATCAGGAGTTCAACACCGGCCTGGCCAACGTGGTGAAACCCCATCTCTACTAAAAATGAAAAGATTAGCTAGTGTGGTGGCTTGTGCCTGTAATCCTAGCTACTCAGGAGGCTGATGCAGGAGAATTGCTTGAACCTGGGAGGCAGAGGTTGTAGTAAACCAAGAGTGAGACTCTATCTCCAAAATAAAAAAGAGTCATATGAACTACTCTATTTTAGCATAGTCTCTCACAAAGATCTTCACAGAAGTGTTGGGCCTAAGAAATCAATTTCACAAAATATAGCACCTTGGTATGATTATTTTATTTTATTTTATGAGATTGAGATTTGTTGCCCAGGCCGGAGTGCAGTGGTGCGATATCAGCTCACTGCAACCTCTGCTTTCCAGGTTCAAGCAATTCTCCTGCCTCAGCCTCCTGAGTAGCTGGGATTACAGGCATGTGTCACCACGCCCAGCTAAGTTTTGTATTTTTAGTAGAGACAGGGTTTCACCATGTTGACCAAGCTGGTCTCGAACACCTGACCTCAGGTGATCCACCCATCTCAGCCTCCCAAAGCACTGGAATTACAGGCATGAACCACCGTGCCCAGCCTGAAGATTATTTTAAATTAAAATAATTTAAAAGCCCTTGGTAACCAACATGCACTATTAGATCTCCGGAGTTACTTTATCTGCCTAAAGTCTGGAATTGCCAAAGAAGAAAACAATGACCTCTGGTCCTTTTCCTATGTTTGCATTACCTTAATTCATATCAAAGGAAGAAAGACACACCTGGACAGACTTTTGTCACAGACCATTGCCTTCTATTTCAGTATTTCAAAGAAAATCATTTTACAGTCATTGTCTGCTCTGCAGGCTCAACAGACCTTGTTCCAGGCCTTTGTAAGTTCTCCAAGTCCATGCATTTCCACCTAAAAAATCATTTTCTATACCCCAACTTGTCACATTTCCCCCATTTCTTCTTCACTATGAAAAGCGTGTATAAGCACCTCTACTCCATCCAGTTATTGGGTAATCCTCCTATAATTTCCCTAGGCTACGCGCATTAACATAAAATTTGCGTGCCTTTTCTTCTATTAATCTGCTTGTTGTCATTTGATTTTCAGTGAACCTTCAGAGGGCAAAAGGAAAGTTTTCCCTTGGCTCCAACAGTTTTGGCGCAGTGAGCAGGACAACCAAAGCTGCTTTGCTCTTCTGAAAATTGCTCTCAGGGAACCCGGGACCCGGCCCCCGGCAGAAGGGTAAGAAATTCTTTCCAGTCAGAATCTCGGTCTCTGTTTGTCTTTGGAATCTGGGTGAACAGAGAGTAAAATCATCAGTTTGTCTCTCTTTCCATATGTAATATTAACAGGAGAAAATCGTTTTTCATTGGTCTTTGATGTAGCAACTGGTGTATTTTATTGTATAAATATCCATATTGTCTTAAAATAATCGTCTTATCTTTGTTCTCCCAGCAATAGATTTTGTTTCTCCATTGCCTTTGTCTTTACATGTTGTTTTGTCATAAAGAGGAGTGTCATAGGATAGAACATGGGTCTAAAGTCTCTATAAGCCCCTTCTGAGCTGGCCCCTGAGAAACTGGTGATTGTTTTTTAATAGATACTTTAAGTTCTGGGGTGCATGTGTAGAGCGTGCAGGTTAGTTACATAGGTATACATGTGCCATGGGGGTTTGCTGTATCCATCACCCCATGATCTACATTAGTTATTTCTCTTAACGCTATCCCTCCCCTAGCCCCCGACCCGGGACAGGCCGCGGTGTGTGATGTTCCCCTCCCTGTGTCCATGTGTCACTGGTGATGTTTACAGTTTCATCAGACCGATGTACAATTGTACAACCGTGCCATGGGTCCCTGAAACAAAAACTGGATGAGGTTCCCCTTACATCTTGTTTTGTTTTTGTGAGAACTTGACTTGTTACCAGTGGGAGGACTCACTCTTGTTTTTCACCATTTGGGGAGTATGATTTTTGGGAAGTAACGTGGCCAGTTAGAAAAGGCTAGAACCCTAGACACCTAAGATATTAGGCAGCACACGCTTAGGTTTGAATATGCCACAATCTCAGTGGAGTTTGTCCTACCTATAAGGGGCCCATGTTGTCTCAACACATGTTACCTGGTTACTTCTGGAAAAGTCCAAATCCAGGAGGGCCTGCTGGTGCAACAGATTAGGGGTCTATGACTGGCAGACCCCACAACTTTGTGGGATACTGAGACACTGCTGCACACACAAATAGCACCCTGAGCCGTCTGTAGTAATAAGAATCTTTTGCTACCTTAGCATATTTCTGAGAGTGAATTTCTGAGTAATCATGAGGACTACATCATCTGAACCCAGTTTTAAAATGCCTCTTGCATTCATGGTATTGTAAACTTGGAAAGTTAACTCTGGGACTTTCTGTGAAAAAGGCTGATTGGCTTCAGATACTTTGCAATAAATAAGCTGGCTATATTTTAATGAAAAATTTTTAGAAGGCTGTTGACTTAATTGGCTATGTTATTGGTACTTATATAAGAAACAAAAGAGAGGCCGGGCACTGTGGCTCATGCCTATAATCCCAGCAGTTTGGGAGCCTGAGGCAGGCAGATCAGGAGGTCAGGAGTTTGAAACCAGCCTGCCAACATAAAAAAAGAAAAAGAAGAAGAAGAAGAAAAAACAAAGAGGTTGGGCACAGTGGCTTCATGCCTGTAATTCCAGCACTTCGGGAGGCCGAGGCGGGTGGATCTTGAGGTCAGTAGTTCAAGACCCGCCTAGGCAAGCTGGTATTACAAGCGTGAGCCACCGTACCCAGCAGTACTTTGTTTTACTTTTTTCAAAGGCTTTTCCCTTTTGGATCTTCTTTCTACCCTGGGTTGGTTTTTGTTGTGTTTTATTTCATTTTTGGTTTGTTTTTATTTGTTTTTCCAGTCAGCTGGAGCTCCTTTAAAAAGTTCCACATTTGGTCCTTCTTTTTGCTTCCTTATTGGAATGATTTTTACTGAAAAAAAGGTAAAATGTTATTGATCTTTCTGGGAAAGTTTAAAATATTCCCAATGGGTTTCTCTATGAGTTGCTTTTCCATTTACATCTACTGTACCTTTCTTTTGCCACCTTTAATACTACACTAAGGGATCTAACCAGGACTTTGGCCCTCACAAGGGGACGCTGTGACCCTTTGAAGACACACAAAAAAAGGTGCCGCTGGCCTCTGTGGGACGTGTGTGCGTTTCCTGTCTCCATTACAAAGCCCCAAGAGGTATGGGCAAGTTTCTCTCAGGCCTAAAGCTTTGCTCTCTGCTGTGTTAAGCCCCCTGATCTCTGGCTTTTGGATACATACCTGTGTGTTCTGTATTTTATGTCTACATATGTTTATATTTCTATCATATGCTTGTGTATTGTCTAATGGTAAGGAATTGACTTGAAAATAAAAACACATATAAATTAAGTAAATAAGTTCAATGCTTTTCAAATTCATGTGATCTTAATCTTTGTTAAATAAAACTGCTTTAAAATTATCGGTAAAATAAAATAAAAATGTCTTCAGAATTTATACATTTTTGCCTGGGGCTACTGGTCAGGCAGGTTTGTGCTGTCTCTGCCAAATGTAGTCAGGTCATAAAATTGCCTCTTTCATGATATTTTTGATACTTGTTTGATTTGCCTGTGAGCTAAAGCTACTACAGCTGGAGGATGGGCTCCCCCAAAGCCTTGCACACATCTTACTGTGAGCCTATGTTTTTGGTTTTGAGTTTCTAGGTCTTGGGGCCTACAAAGATTGCAGTGATGAAGCCTGAAGATATATGTGTGTCCACAGCACCTGGGCTACCAGCTGCAGGGCAGAGTCATGCTCAATAGGGCCTTATCCTCCTGGATCCAGCTCTTCCTCTTGGCCATGCTGGGAGGGGTCAGAGCCTCCAGACATCATCTTTGTAGTTCTGTCCTCTGTCTGGACTTTATACTTGGTGTGTAAATCCCGGACCCAGATGGACGCTTTTTTTAATAACTATCCTGGATGCTCATGGGCATTTGGATCCAGGACAACCTGGTGGATAGAGTATTGAAGAGGATGCCTCTGCCCAGTACCTTAAAGGCCTTTAAGATGAGATTGGCTGATTTAGGATTGGCCTGGTTTTGCTGTAAAAAAAATAAACAACTGAACAAACAAAAAGCTTAAATGGCTACTATTGCTTTTCATGAGCAATTCAGACATAATTGTTAGTAATGAGTAAATTAGGTAAAACAAATGGAGTAAATGTTTGTAAATAAACTTATAGTTTCAAAAATCTCTTTAGTAATTGATACTCTTAAAGTCAAGTTATATTAAGTAATAGTTAATCATGAAATATCTGTGTTATTTCTAAGTTAAAATACTGACACATCAACTATTAAGCATAATTAAGCATAAGTTTAAGTTTGAATACTCTGATACCTTATTTTCAGGTGATATAGAAAAGATAAATATATTTGAATCTCTTGATAAACATGAAAAATTGAGGAAATATTTTTAAGAATTATAAAATAGTTTTCAATTACAAATACTGATATAAAAGATTTCCTTCCTACATTTTCACTAAAAATTAAGACACTGGCTGGGTGTGGTGGCTCACGCTTATAATCTCAGCACTTTGAAAGGCCAACGTGGGTGGATCATGAGGTCAGGAGTTCAAGATCAGCCTGGCCAATATGGTGAAACCCCATCTCTAGTAAAAATACAAAAATTAGCCTGGTGCGGTGGCATGCACCTATAGTCCCAGCTACTCGGAAGGCTGAGGCAGAAGAATCGCTTGAACTTGGGAGGCAAAGGTTACAGTGAGCTGAGATCATGCCACTGCACTCCAGCCTGGGTGACAGAGTGAGACTCCATCTCAAAAAAGAAAAAAAAATTAAGATACAGGAGTTAAAATCATAGTAAATATATGTAATTAAAACCACTAAAAATGAGTTAAACAATTTTGTATGCAAAGTGTATACAAAAAAATGCAAGAAATTTTTTAGTGAGAACGTTTATAAGGAAGGCATGAGCACGTGGTTTTGTTAAAGGAGAAGTAATTTTGTGTAGTTTAGAGGTTACTTAAAGATTGTTTCAGGCCAAGCACAGTGACTCATACCTGTAATCCTAACACTTCAAAAGGCCAAAGAGAGAGAATTTCTTGCGGCCAGCATGGGCAACAGAGGGAGATCCTGTCTCTACAAAATACTTTTTAAAAAAATTAGCTAGGTGTGGTGGTGCACGCCTGTGGTCCCAGCTGCTGTGGAGGATGAGGACTGAGGTGGGAGAATCACTTAAGCCTGGGAGGACAAGGGGGCTGTGGGCCATGATCAGGTCATTGCACTCCAGCCTGAGGGACAAGACCCTGTCTCTAAAAAATAAAAATAAATAAAAAATAAATAAAGGTTGTTTCAGACTAAGTGGAGAAAAAATGATAACAAATTGATATAAAGAGGTTTCTTTTTTTTTTCTGAGGCAATGTCTCACTGTGTTGCCCAGGCTGTAGTGAAATGGCATGACCTCAGCTCACTGCAACCTCCACCTCCCAGGTTCAAGTGATTCTCCTGCCTTAGCCTCCCAAGTAGCTGGGACTACTTGGGAGTAGTCACCAAGTAGGTGCGTGCCACCACGCTCGGCCAATTTTTTGTATTTTTAGTAGACATAGCGTTTCACCGTGTTAGCCAGGATGGTCTTGATCTCCTGACTTTGTGATCTGCCCGCCTTGGCCTCCCAAAGTGCTGGGATTACAGGCATGAGTCACCGCACCAGGCCACAAAGTTTTTAAAGAGTAAAAGAGTAAGAGAACATTATAATAGGTTATAGAAGGTTTATGAACATTTTAGCTTGTGTCAAAGTTGACCGATATTGGAGAAATTTGTTTATACATTTTCATTAAAATTAGCTTTAGTATTTAAAGTACACAAAGACAAAGCTAGTGGTTGATTTTCTCTTTTAAACAATATTTTGCATAGGATTAATAAAAATAAAAGATTTTTGTACATGTTCTGAGTAAAATGCAGAAAAAAAAAAGAAGGAAGAGAGAGAAACAGATTTTGCGTGCCTCACGTCATAGTGTCTTCACAAGGTCTTTTGATTATTTGGAAAATGGAGACTCTAGCCTATCAAAGAACAAAGTTTGTTGCTTTTTGTAATCTTCCAGTTATCACTTTGGCTGAATGAATGACTATTACTTTCTCAGTGGACCTATGTTCCTATTTTGATCAAGTATTTGAAACCTTTGACATATTTGACAGGCTTCTCACAATTATATTTT